AACTAGATAGCTTTCAAAGTTGCATAGTCAATCATTATTCTGATTTAACCTTAGCATGAGAGACATTTATGAGACCTACCAATAACACACAGAATTGGTAGATCAGTCAAATAGGCTAAACACACATGTAGTGTAATGGCTCCAAGGGAAGATAAATATTCTATTCTATTAGACCTACTAACATTTAAGGAAAAGCCTGCTGTGCCTATCCACTCAGTGAAATCCCAATCAGGTGGGAAAGGTCTTCCCATAGGTACAGCATTAATCACTCTTTCCTTTGGGGCTCTGGTCTTCAACTCTGGCTTTCTGTTAGAAATCAGATTTTTGAAAAGCTTTTAAAAACTACTGATGCAATTAAATCAGAAATCCCTAGATAAGGGGCAGAAGTATTTTCTAAAAAGATCTCTAGATCATTCCAACATGCAGCCAGATGAAGCATCACTGCTCTATTGGGTACATTTCATTTGCCTTTATCATAGTATGTTTTTAATTTTTGTTTATTTTTCTATCTTTGTTAGTCTAGAAGATCTTCAACTCAATATATATTTTACTGAGTGCAAATTATATGTAGCATCACACACCATACTAGGTGCTGATGATACAGAGACAACTTTGTGTCCCTGTCCATGAGAACCCTATTGCCTAATTGAGAAAGATAACATACAAACAAAAACAACAAAATTAAGTGAAATAGGTGCTATAGTGAGGGATATAGGGATCTCTACCACCTAACACCCCCCAATAAAAACTTGGTAACAACCACCCTTGAAGTTGGTATATTTAGAGCTCCTTGACTTAAATGGCTTCTATTTTTACTCCACTTCAAAAACCCACTCCCAAGGCTGCACACTAGATCATGTTAACACTGGAATTGCCCCAACTCTGAAACCATTAATTCCAACATCCAACTGTTTGACCACAATCTTTAAACCTTTTACTTCCTTCACTACCACCTTACCCCACCAAGTCCTCCAGTCTCTAAGTGTCTCCATTTTTTACCTCAGTTCATCATTTTCCTTTGCTGTATCTATTATATTATTCTACAGCGTGCTGCATTTTTCCTTTTTTTTGTATTTTGCTGTATCTTTATTGTTGCACTTATCATACAGCATAATTTATATGAACATTTGTTTTCTCTATTAGATCGTAACTTTCTGTAGAACAATTATTGGATTCTTTTTCTTGGTCCTGCATCCTTAACACTGACAACAGGACCAGACCCCTAATAAGTGTTCAGTAAGGACGCCTGTGTGGCTCAGTTGGTTAAGCGTCTGCCTTCGGCTCAGGTCATGATCCAGGGGTCCTGGGATCGAGTCCCGCATCGCTTCTCCCTCAGCCTGCTGCTCCCCCTTCTTGTACTCTTTCTGTCTCTCTCTCTCTCTCAAATAAATAAATTAGATCTTTTTTAAAAAAGTGTTCAGTAAATGGTGAAGGAATGGATAAAGGGTTCTTGTCATTTTCATCACCAGACTACAAGCTCTACAAAGGCAGAGACTATCTCATCTACAGATTTCCTATAATTCCTACTGGAGTGCCTCACAAATATCAGAGCCTCAGGGAGCATGTGTTAAATTGTAAAAGGATGAAATGTATTAGATACTGTGTAAGACATATAAAAATATGTTCCTTGCTCTTTTTTGGGAATTATTATTTCAACAATCATTTAAGAGAGCCAGATGGTTATGAGGCAAATGTAAAAAATGTTCATTATGGCAGAGACAAAATGATATATGGAAAGCACTGGATATAAGTCAGGAGGCCTGTGCTTCAGTCTTGGCTTTGCCACTCTGTGAGCTACAAATAACCATCACTGTGAGCCTTGGTTTCCTCAGTTTTTAAAAAGGAGTTTGACCAGAATTCAATTTTTTTTTTCAGAATTCAATTTTTGATCATCTGAGGTTCCCTAACATGCTATGCCTCTTAAAATTTGTATTATAAAAGTGATATACCCTCAATATAAAAAATTGTACATGCCCTTCTGAACTGTTTAGGTAAAGGGAAGTTCCCATCCTCCACTCTATTTTCATAACTCCCCAAAGCTATCCACTCTCAACAGTTCCTGGTATCTTTTTTTTTTTTTTTTTAAGATTTTTATTTATTTGCAAGAGAGAGAATGAGAGACAGGGAGCATGAGAGGGAGGAAGGTCAGAGGGAGAACCAGACTCCCTGCTGGGCAGGGAGCCCGATGTGGGACTCGATCCCGGGACTCCAGGATCATGACCTGAGCCGAAGGCAGTCGCCTAACCAACTGAGCCACCCAGGCACCCCAGTTCCTGGTATCTTTAAGGCACTGTTCATGTATAAGCAAGTACAGACTAAGATTCTTGTTTTTATTTACCAACTGCACAGTCCCATCAATTCTAAGGGAACCTTGACAAAACGAAAAGACAATTATAAATACTTTGATAACAGGGGCGCCTGGGTGGCTCAGTCAATTAAGCGTCTGCCATGATCCCAGGGTCCTGGGATGGAGCCCCCACAAGGTTGGGCTCCCTGCGCAGCGGGGAGTCTGCTTCTCCCTCTCCCTCTGCCTGCTGCTCTGCCTACTTGTGTGCTCTCTCTCTCTATAATAAATAAGATCTTAAAAAAAATACTTTGATAACAGAAAAATAATTATCTACTCAAAAGGCCAACAGTAGAAAAAATTAAAACAGAATAAGTATTTAAAACTTCCTGTTTCACACCACCCCCAACCCCCACCCCCTGCTGTGCAATGTAATGTAAAAAGCATATGACAAGAAATTTAAGATGGGAAGCTTAAATGTGGAAGAAATGTGGGAGGCATGGGAATTGTGGAGAAAGGAGAGATAATCATACAATCACAATCACAGAAGGATGTATAAAAGGCCAAAAAGTCACAGAATTCTAAATATTAAAATAGCAAACACAATTTTGAAATACACTATGAGCTTAAAGACAGAATCAATTGCAGAAAACGCAGTGTTGTCTTCCTAAAATAATGCCAGCCCAGAGACAAGTGTAGATCACTATGTCCTTGATTTTCTTGACAACAGCATCCTATAAAGATCTAACAAGGGTATCCACAGATTATGAAGCCAAAGACGAAATAATTGTATTTTTGACCAGTCCCTCTGATAGTGGGGAAAATATATCATAAGATTATAGTTGTCATAAGAATTTCTTTTAGAAGATAGAAAGAGAAAAAAAATAGGTCATTAGTAAAATAGTTTCCTATTTTAGTTTCCTGAGAATATACTGGAAAATAGTTTTCTATCTCTAGTTTCCTGAGAATATAATGGAAATTGCAATCTAATGGCTGGACTACTGATTTCTCTTTCATTTGGTACCAGAGTATTTAAACATTAAGGACTATGTTAGAAAGAGAGCCAAGCTTTAACTTCTATATCCACCTAGACAGCATAGATTTCACCTAGACATGTCCCAGTTTTACCCCTATCATGTAAAATGACACTGCTCTATCCTGTAAAGAATGCTTGTAAATAAGGTAAGAACAGCAGCCTGGATCAGGAACCTGTTCCAGAAGGCTAACACATTACTCAAGTCCACTTTTTAAACAGATTAAAAATACAGTTCCATAACATATAAGTCACAAGTCTAACAACATTTAGCCATAAATTGTCTAGCGACAATTACAGCAATAAAAAAAATAACACTGTTATAGTCTATACCTGGTATTTCTACAACCTAAATATAGTATGATGGATATAAACTAAAACAACAATTTAGAATTTGAGGAAGAGAAAATGATAAATTATTTTTATTCCATAATGTAACCTTAATACCATGGTACATGGTATAAAGTTTGTCAAGAAGTTGTAAATAGATAAGTCCATATCTCCATAAGTCAGTCAAGTGAATTCGAGGACTACAAACTTTACCAACTCTACCTTGCTTCCAAACATTCAAAAACACAAACCGAAATAAGGAACTAAAATCATTCTGGTTTCCTGCACCCTTTAGGTTAAGAGGAACAGTATTTCCTGACACCGGAAAATGTCAAGTCAGTAGCTGAAGCTATGGTTTTCAAATTTGGGTAGAATACCATTTTAAGAGTCTTTAAGATTCTTTTTTTTTTTTTTTTTTTTTTGAGTCTTTAAGATTCTTAAGAGAAATTTTCATTACTTGACATATCTACGTCAGAATTTAGCACAAAACTAAACATATAAATCAGTACAGCAATTCTCAAACTTTTCTATCCCACAGTCTGAAAAATGTTATGACCTTTCCATTTTATCTCATTTCTCTCTTCCATCACCTCTTCCCACTAAATCCAGTAAAAACTTCCAAACCAGCTAACACAAATTCGTTTAGGCAGCTAAAGGTCTGCAGTGGTGAAGTAAGTCAGAAGTGGCTTGGGTACCACTACTTCCTGACTACAGAGACTCAATACATCCCATATAAAGTTCAAAGTGAAAAAATTATGTCGAAATCGGGCCCTAAAAGCCTCTTTACAAAATTATATGGGAATCAGGCCCTAAAAGCCTCTTCAGAATTTCTCCATTCCACAGTATAGCACAATAGACCCACCAGCCTCACTGTGAACTTAGCTTCTTGAACCACTGTCTCTGTAAAATACACATTTTTAAAAAGAATTTTGTGATACAATATCTGAAGTCTTTGTAGGAAAGCTAATAACTAAGAGATGATCAATAACTACTGCTAGTAACTAGCCTTAAAAGCAGACTGTAATAGTTAGAGCCGCAAAGCTCGCTCTCCACTAAATTTCACAATTTAGGATTCTCTGCGCTGAAAAACTATTAAATTCTTTGATATTCACCCTTAACCAAACCACTCATTTCAATTCCAAGGAGGCAAAAATGAAGTAAAAATAGAAATCTACTTTCTTTCCCCCATGCCAAAGTTATTACTACAGACAGTCATCGTGCTAACCATTGTTCCAAAGGGTTCCTAGGCATCTCAAAGAGATTGCTCAGTTCCTGATGATTACTGTATAATGGAAATCAATCAGATAAATAAGCCAGCAATTAAAGTATCCTGTCATCTGTGTTCCCACTTACCCTCGGTAACATCCTGGGGGTTAGAAGTCCGGTCACTAGCTGGATCCAGTGCAACAGTTGCTAGTGAAGTGGTGGCTCCAGACATCTCACTCATAGGCTCACTACGGCTTGTTTCAGGCATACTTTCCCGTGAGCTAAATCTTACTCGGGAACTGGATCGGGAGCTGAGGTCCGGGCTGGTATCTGACAAACCTGGAATGTCATCGATCTTCGTTGGTGTCACCATGAACCGAACTGAAGCCATCTTGGTGGTGGTTTCTGGAGGATGCATTATTCTCTTTTCCTTTATAAGAACAAAGAAAAAAGGAAAACCCCGCAAAATCCTTCCTCCTACGCTTACTTTTGATTGCAAAAATAGAAAACTTTTTAAAAAACCCTCAATAACCTTGATTTACACCACACAAAAAGTCCCAAATAAGAATTCTACTCAGAATTCAAACGGACTACCCTGGAAAGTGCACAACCAGTAAATATTTAAGGGAAAAAAAAAAAAAAAGACAAAACGATGCCAATCTCGTGGAACGTCGTTCCTTCAGAAAGAAGAGTGATTTAGCTGTCTCCCCTGGTCCAGGGCTGCGGGCTCAGTGCCATGGTCTCAGAGAAGCAGGTGAAGCCTTTCTCCCCCCGACCCCCAGGTTTCTGCCGAGGTAGTTAAGTCTTTTATCTGGTAAATGTCCCACGGTTCTAGTTGAACAAAGTGCGCGCAGGCCCACCCTTATCAGGCGAATATAGCACAGATCAGATTGCGAAACGGTGTACACCGGCCACCTGTTGTGTATCAGGTGAATACCCCACAGGTCTGGCTGGGTGGTGTGTGTAGAGCCAGCCGATATTTGGGAGGCCAATAATCCACTTGGGTCTGGTAGGAGAGATGCGCATGCATAACGGGAAAAATACCCCACACTACAGGATAGAGGAGAATGAAAAGGGTGAGCAGAGGATGCAGGGGCAGAGCGGATTCCCGTCTCCAAGAGGTCTGCGGGGGTGGCCCACCCGCTCTTCTGGCAGAACGGTCCCTAGGATCTGGAAGGAGGCGGCTGGCGAGCGGATCAAGATCCCTGGGACTGCAGCTCAGGGTCGTGGCAGGTCGTCGCTAGTCCATCGAGCCCACGGTCGGCTCGCTGGGTTTCTCCTGCGTGTGACAGGACGGGCCACCCCTTTGCCGGAGGACGCTTTCTCCCCCACCAGGGCCGCGGCGCAGGTCAGCCCCTCGCCGTTCTTCCTTCGGGTCCTAGCAAGAGAGGAGATGGCCTCGCAGGCTGGCCCGGGTTAAGCAGCAGGGGGCGGCGGGGAGGAGGGGAGGAGGAGGTCGCAGGTGCGGGATACCGGCGCCAGCTGATGCGGGTGCGCGCGCAGCTGTTGTTTACGAGCCGGTAACTGTTTCGGAGCCGCGGCGCGCTCAGGAGGGCTCCGGCTGCCGGGGAGGGCGCCCCCTCCCCGGGTAGACGCCGGAGCAGCCGTTACGTGACCTCGCCGCCCCCGGCCCCGGGCCCGGCGGGCTGTGCCAGCGCCGCCGCAGCCCCTCCCTTCCCTCCCAGCTCGTTCCTCATTCGAGGTTAACGGTCCGAAGAGAAGCCTCGGGGAGCGGTCGGAGGGCGGTACCGTCCCGCGAGCGTCGAGGAGCCCCGCCCAGCCTCTGCAGTCTGCAAGGTGACGGAAAGGGTTGCGCGCATGCGCTGCCGGGGTCGCAGCGGGACCGAGGAGCCAAACGTGCGAGGCCCGGAGGAAGATGGGAATTGTAGTTGAGTGTTGGGGCCTGAGCTGCGTGCACTGGAGAAAACAAACCCCTTTCCTTCTGGGTCCCGCTGTGTTGCACGAACTCACTCTGGAGGCACTGGGGGAGCAGACGATGCCCCTTGCCCTCAGAACCTCAAAAACCATCTCTTTTTAATAAAAGCGTCTCTGAAAATACCGTTCATAATTTCTTTAAAAATCACCAACCTCCCATACCATATACCTAGGTATGACCATTACTGAAATTTTTAAGCTGATGTCTGTTTTTAAAGCACCGTATTGTCAAATTATATTCATTTTGTGCTAAATTTTTCTTTTTCCTGTCCTTAAAATGTCTTTTACCATGTATGCTTATATCAACTCATGTGTACACCTTAAATATATACAATTTGGTCAATTATACCTCAATGAGGCTGGAGAAAAACGCTATTTTCATTTTCTAGTTAGACTGAAGGTTCAATTAAAGAAATTTTTTTAAATTTTAAGATTTTATTTATTTTTGCGAGAGAGAGAGCGTGCACACACAAGCGTAGTACGAGTAGTAGTCTACCTGCTGAGCAAGGGGCTCAGTCCCAGGACCTGGGGATCATGACCTGAGCTGAAGGCAGACGTTTAACCAACTGAGCCACCCAGGTGCCCCTGCATTCTGCTATTTTTTTGGTCATTGCAATGACCTCAGTCAGGAGATGAGAAAATGCTTGAAGAATGAGTACATGGAAAAGAGGACCAAGAACAGGGAGCATGACAATGCAATGCGAAAAAGACTTTTTAATCCGGTGGAGGAATCTGAAAAATAAATTACAGGCATACCTCATTAAAAAAAGAAAGAAAGCCTCAGATTTGAATGACCAACAGGCTTGCCTGAGAAGAACATTAATACCTCAGGAAGTGAATTTCCTGCTTCCTCAGGAAGCTATGAGCCAGAGTTGTTAATCATAGGCTTTAAAGAGAAAGAATCAAACTTTAAGGAGGTTTACATTTTATCTTGTTTTTAAAAAAGATTTATTTATTTATTTGAGAGAGACAGACAGATAGTGAAAGAGAGCACAAGCTTGAAGGAGAGGGAGCCTGACACAGGGCTCTATCCCAGGACCCCGGGATCATGACCTGAGCCGAAAGAAGGCAGGTGCTTAACTGACTGAGCCACCCAGGTGCCCCAGGTAGTTCACATTTTAAATGGGAATTTATTTCTCATTTTGTTACCTGGATCTTTCTTGTTTTGTGTTTTTGTTTTGTTTCTGTTTTTTAAACATTTTAGTCCTTATTTACACATTGTATATCTCAAAAAAGTTTTTTGTTTTTTTAATTTTTATTACTGGATCTTTTTAACCAGACTTTGGATTTTATGTGTCATTTGATAAAAGAGAATTTCCTGGCTCAGGTTTTCAATACAGTTCTGATCTATTGCTAAGGATGATGTGTAAACATTTCCACTTGTGAGGCGTAAGGACCCAGGCAAAGCCAGGGCACAGATTGTTAAATTTAAATGTCTCGATCAAAGCTATAGGAAATAACTTTCAAACAAAATATTGATGAGTCAAAATTTACTTAACACTTCTATTTGTATGTTAAACATGCTAAGAAAAATATTCTGGTAGCAGTAGTAGGGAAAACACTGGCAATGGAGTAAAAAAGTACCTCATTGTTTCCTCCAGGTCTAAAATAAAATAAAATAAAACAGGGGCGCCTGAGTGGCTCAGTCAGTTAAACGTCTGCTTTCAGTTCAGGTCATGATCGCAGAGTCCTGGGATTCAGCCCCAAATCGGGTCTCCTTGCTCAGTGGGAGTCTGCTTTTCCCTCTCCCTGCAGCTCCCCCTGCTTATGCTCTGTCAAATAAGTAACTAAATAAAGTCTTTTAAAAAAAATTTTCAGAATGCTGTGGTGTTTGTGACATTCCTGAGGCAAGTTTATCAAGACACTGCATTCTTCAGTGTGCAAGTGTGGAGATAAGTCAGGATGCATGTTTAAGAGGTGATGGAGCACAGCAGAGCAACCCGACGCCAGGTGGCCAAGGCTCCTGCACTCTCCACAGCTGACCCTGCTGGGCTCGGCCAGCCCCCACTGCTCTCATAGGCTTTCTCATATTTATAAGGAAATGGTGGGTTTCTGCAACATCCAATTTTGTTTCATACCAGTGTATTTTCATTCACTTACATATACTACCTAATACCAATATACTACACCTCTTAAAACTCTCTTCTTCCGTTTCTGAGCATATCTCAGATGTTAATATCCAGAGAACCTTTTAAGGAAAAAGTCCTTGGTATATTTAAACCAGTCTACCTTTTCTCTTCTATTTCAATTAGGAATATTTCCAGATCAAAGTCTTTTCATTTCAGTTTACACAGCAGGTAGGTAGCATGGAACAATAGTAATCCTTTTTGGGGAGGGGTGGGGGCAGGTAGTGGGTTACTTATAAAGACAAAATTACAGGCAAATTACAAAACATTGCTAGCAGAGTTCACTTACTGACTTTGGTGTTTAAGAAGTTTCCATAGCAGATCCTTTTTCCAGTTATTGCAGAATTAACATTTCTTCCATCACTGTCCCCTTAATAAGATAGGGTAACACTTTAAAATCCCTGTAAGTGAACATGCTAAGAAATTAAAAATTGCTTGACAGGAAACAAGAATTTCATTTTACCATTCCCATAAGTGATTAAAAAATCATTTGTCTTCTATTAATTATCACTCAAGTCGAGAGATTTTTTTTTTCCAGCAGTCAGCAACTATCCTCAACTTTTCTGCTAAGACAGTCAGACATCAGAGTCCAAGAGAAATGTTTATCCCTTTCCAGGACCTGTGCTGATAAATTAAATTTATGCCGATTTAAGTTACATCTGCTTCTAGAATCTAGAATCTTGATGCTGTAGAAAAAGATTGTTTAGGGGTGCCTGGGTGGCTCAGTCGTTAAGCGTCTGCCTTCGGCTCAGGTCATGATCCCAGGGTCCTGGGATCAAGCCCCGCATCGGGCTCCCTGCTCCGCGGGAAGCCTGCTTCTCCCTCTCCCACTCCCTCTGCTTGTGTTCCCTCTCTCACTGTGTCTCTCTCTGTCAAATAAATAAATAAACTCTTTAAAAAAAAAAAAAAAAAAAAAAAAAAAAAAAAAAAGAAAAGAAAAAGATTGTTTAATTAGAACACAATCTCCATAAAGCAGTTTTTAAATCAGTGGCACTAGGCAAACATTCAAATCCAATGTCAAAAGCCACAAACGGGAAGACTGGAAAATAATGAGTTGATTAACTTAGCAAAGAGAGGAAGAAGCAAGCTAGCATTTTTTTGAAAGCTTACATACAGTATTTTGTCTCATCATTCTACTATGAATTGTCCTAAGAAATCTCCCAGGGGTTTTTTTGTTTGTTTGTTTTTTAATTAACCCCAACAGTAGCTTAAAAAACAGCAAAATCCCTGCTTCAATCTCTCATACCTCATCTTCTAAATTAAGATCCATGTAGAGTTCCACAAAGCAGCTGGCTGCCAAAGAGAATATAAAGTTAGGTGTATGTGAGAAGACAATTCCTTGATGGAGAGAACTAAAAACCTGGGAATATTTTCGGAGGGGGAGTAAATAAATATCAAGGCATTTGTATTCACAACAGTTCTATTTGCAACACAGTGAGATATATTGTTATCCACCACTGAATCCTATCAAATTTCAAGTTGGAATAAGGCTTAGAAATGATGAGAAAAATGAGACTACACTGATTACTTTCTCAAAGTTATGCAGAAATCCTGGTCTCCTGACTTCCAATTCACTGCATTCCCTCTACAATATAGCTGCTATTCTTTTTCTTTTTTTAAAAAAAACATTTTATTTGGGGCGCCTGGGTGGCTCAGTTGGTTAAGCGACTGCCTTCGGCTCAGGTCATGATCCTGGAGTCCCTGGATCGAGTCCCGCATCAGGCTCCCTGCTCGGCGGGGAGCCTGCTTCTCCCTCTGACCCTCCCCCCTCTCGTGTGCTCTCTCTCTCTCTCATTCTGTCTCAAGTGAATGAATAAAATCTTTAAAAAAAACAAAAAAAAAAACAAAAAAAACACATTTTATTTATTTTGAGAGAGAGAGAGCTAGACAACACAAGCAGGGGGAGTGGGAGAGGGAGGAGGCTCCCCTCTGAGCAAGGAGTCCAACATGGGACTCAATCTCAGGACCCTGGGACCATGACCTGAGCCGAAGGCAGACGCTTAAAAACTGAGCCACCCAGGCGCCCCTGCTATTATTTTTCAAGCAACTCCCCCATTTTGAGTCAAAACGTCATTTCAAGGGGCAGGAAATTACTTAAATGAGAACAAGGGCATTTTTTAGTGAATGGGGACAGTTGTGGAAGAATCTGAACCATTTTTCCGGTTCCCCAACACCGTATCCCGCACAGCACTACTGCCATAGCAGTGACTGAAGGTTTTTTTTTCTTTTTGAAGATTTTATTCATTTATTTGACAGAGACACAGCGCGAGAAGGAATACAAGCAGGGGGAGTGGGAGAGGGAGAAGCAGGCTTCCCGCTGAGCAGGGAGCCCGACGCGGGACTCGATTCCAGGACCCTGGGATCATGACCTGAGCCGAAGGCAGACGTCCAACGACTGAGCCACCCAGGTGCCCCAGTGACTGAAGGTTTTCTTCCAAGGGCTGTTGTACCCCTGGGGTGCTCTTCCCTCTCATCTCCCTCTTTTTTGTTTTTAAACCCCTCCTTTTTCCCCACAACATACAAAATAAGAGCTTTTCAAATCATTTTAATAACCTAGCAGTGATTCAAAATATGGAAAGAAGATTCAAAAGAAGGATGCTACCATGATCGATTTACACAAGCATGATCAAGGGCAACGATGAAACCGGATTCCAAAGAGCAAGGGTGGTAAGAAGGCTTCCACGCTCACAGTTTGAAGAGCTTGGTTTCGGAAAGTCTCTGAGGGGTAGCAGAAGAGACATGAAGTTTAGGGGGCCCTCAGAGGACAGGGCGCGGTCGCTGGGTCATGAGCACCTTGAAGCGTTTCTTGACGGTGATTCGGTGTCGAGAGTATTTGTCATCTGGGGAGAACCGAGCAGGATGCGCCGAGCAGGTCTGTTGTCCCATAGGGTCAAGCTTCTGCTCGAGGAAGAGAGAGAGACATAATTTCAGTACAGGGGTGATGGGAAAACTCAATCACTGGCGTCATCAGGGAGACAGAGTCTGGGATGGGGAGGAGGCTGCGCGAAAAAAGGTAACCAGGAAAACAGGACACGCGACGGTTAGATCAACAAGTCATACACTCCTTCCACCACTCGTGGCTTCTGGGCTTGCTAGTTCCCCTCACCCACCCAGGCAATTCGGGGGCGGGTCTCAGCCGCTTCTCCCACCTATACTTCTTGCCATGACCATTTACAACCCATTTTTTTGTTTTGTTTTTTCTCACCTTCAGCGTATAGACTCGGTCTCCCTGCTCGTTGAGGTAATACTGGAGAAACATGACCACACCGAAGCCAGAAGTTCTAAATTCGTCGGCTGCTCTTTCGGATGGTCTCACGTTTTTGTTAATTTCCTTCCGGTAAAGCCGGAAGTCTCTCTCAAGGCCTGCCGGGAAATGTAGTCCATTTAGGCCTCTCTCCCAGGCCAGAAGGGGGCGGACTAGTGCAAGGATTTGGCCCACTTGCAACCCAGTTGCAACCTTGCAGGCGTTGGCTTCCAGTTGCAACATTGCTGGCGTTGGGAGACACGTGGAGTGTGCCCACTGTGTGCAAGACACTGCTAGGAGTTAGAGGGGGGTAGGAATGGATATGAGTTGAACATTAATGAATAGAATCCTGTCTTTATCTCGAGATGCACACCCATTTCACAGGCAGTGGGTTTCTAGTGCCTGGAGAAACAAAGGCTCCAGGATTCAGAGCCCCTTTAACTTAGGGTATAAAGAAGAAAGTTTTCTTCCCTCCCCTCTTTTACATCCAGTTCCCCCGTCCTATTTCAAAGTATTGGCGGTAAAGGGTGCATGATGGGTATTCAATATTAGGTACAGCGAAGAGAGCGTGAAGTTATTTTATGAAACTGGTGAAGCATATTTTAGTGGTCGAACCAAGATTTAAACTCAGGTCTTTTTACCACAAATCCAGCGCTCTTTCCTATAGTGGTGAGTAGCTAATAATAGCATAATATGATGCACCTCCTAAGGTTATTTCGAATTTTTAAAAGAACGTAGAAACTCTCTTTATAGAACTCTGGGTTTTAAAAAATGACAATTGGAACCCAGATATTACAAAGACGATCGTTACAGTATTATTTACAATGGCAAAAACATTGGAACATACGTTAATTTTATAACCAAGAAAAGCCTGAAAACGTTTTTCTTTTTTTAAAGGATATAGTCTGTATTTACTTGTAGCTGCATAAAATATCTCTGCAAGGATTCACAAGAAACATACTATTGGTTTCCTCTGGGATAAAGAAACTGGATCCAAAAAGAAAGGAGAGAGAGAGAGAGAGAGAGAGAAATCAGTTCCAGAGGAAAGGAGTGGGAAGGACCCTTGCTGTATATTCCGTTTTGCATATGAACTTTTGAACCATGTTAATGTACTTGCCATTTCAAAAACTAAAATTATTTAACAAAAATTTTAAACAACAAAATAATTTAACAAAAAGGACTTTTTTGATTTTGGAATTTTAGGCTGAATGGCAGTTTTTGGTAGAATGGTGCTTTTCAGCCAAGGGTAGGCTGAACCTTCTGTGGACTGCAGAGCTGATAGTACTGGACTATTTGGGACTGCTTTTTTTTTTAAGATTTTATTTATTTATTTGAGAGAAAGAGAGTGAGTGAGGGAACACAAGCAGGGGGAGCCGCAGGCAGAGGGAGAGGGAGAAGCAGGGCCACCAGCTGAGCAGGGAGCCTGGCAGGGCTGGACCCTGAGATCATGACCCCAGCGGAAGGCAGCCGCTTAACCAACTGAACCACCCAGGCGCCCCTGCAGGACAGCTTTCTAAGGAAATGATATGCATACAGCCAATCATACACCCTGATTTTCTGAGACAATCTTAGTTTCAAACATTCTGTTTCTTTGATCCTTAAGTGCAGGGACTATATGCTCTGAATTTGGTTTGGAAAATATAGACAACATTGAATTAAGCCTAGGGTCTGTCACAACCTGCTATTAATAGGAAGTCAGTTACAGAACTGGGTGGGTTTGAAGGGCATAAAACTATTTATATATATTATATATATATATATAATATATATAAAGAAATGTATAAGTAACCGAGATGTAAAAATGTCATGTTAGGAATCAGAAAGAATTTACAAATTGCCCTAAAAAGACACTCAACAGTTGTGTTGCCATACTCTGGTTTGGAGGGAATTCCTGGTTACTGCTTACTTACCAGAGCCCTTTGGCATCTCTCTCTACCCCTGCCCCTGCTCCCCTCCCCTCCCCCACTGCAGAATGCCTTGAGTCCTAGATTCTAATTCTGTTTTGATCTGATCTTTATCTTTCCTTCCTTGGATCCCTGTGTATCTACTGGGGCCAGGTTGCTCTCTGGGTCCTGGACCTGACTGTCTCATTCTGGAGTCTTCCAGACAGCCACGGTTAGTGCCCAAACCTGAGAGGATGGCTTCAGATGGAGGTAAGTCTGCAAGTGGTGGGGAAGCTCTTGGCTACCTGCTCACACCCTTGGGAATTCAGATTTGACACTTTACCTGGGGACCAGCTTTTGGGGCTGACCTAAAGAGATTGTAAGAACACTAGACCCCAGCAAAGTCATGAGTGTTGGGAAAGCTGGGGAAGGAGATTGTGGCATTAACACCGGGTTAGGGAATGAAGAGAGCCTCCTGGGAGGCAGATCAAAGCCCCTCAGGGGAAAGTCTAAGTATAGAAAAGGGATGGCAGTTAGCAACTTGTTTCTCTGGAAGAGGAATCCCTTCAACATATGTTTGTGTGGCATGGGCAGGGGTGTGTGTGGTGCGAGCAGAACAGAGAGGGCTCAGGGGGAAGGTCCAAATTCCTGTGTCTTCTTTAGGCAAGTGGAGCCTGCTCTAGAATTATGCCCTGAGAGAACTGGGCCGGAGCCACTCTCAATCTTACTGAGTGGAGTGGGTGGAGACCGTAGTTGCAAAACTGTTCCGCTGGGTTATCCGTTGCCTAGTCTGTAGAGAAATGTCCTTCCAAAGGCTAGCCTGGAAGGTACTGTTAAGTGCCTCTGCTCAGAGCCTGATGGCTCCTTTTTGCCCCAGAATGGGCTTCTCTTCCAGTTCCCGGAGCAGTTTCCCTTGATTTCCCAGGGCCAGGGGAGGTGGATAGCTCCAACTGGAATGCGAGATGGGGCTTCCCTGAGATGCTCTCAGTTTTTCTACCTCTTGTGGAACTCGGGCCTCAGACCCATTTCACTTCGCAGAATCCGCCTGGCCCTCTGCTTTGTGGTTGAGATAATGAGTTTGCTCATATTCCATGTCTCCTTCGTGGTCAGGAAGTGGAAGCTGAGTGTTGTTAGTTTGCCAGGGGAATATTCTTTATTAGAGCGGGGGGAGACTTGTATGAAATTAGGCAAATGATCTTCTATTATGGTAATTAAAACTCCTGAGACACATGTCCTGATTGATTAAGTGCACATTTTATGTATTTTTCCTTGAGTTCTTGGCCCAGAGGCCACAGAGCTCCTTCTCAGCACCTTCTGTGTTTCAGACTTCATTGTACCTTGTTCATAGTGGACCCTAAATTTCTGCTATTAGGACTTCCAAGCAGAGGGACTACAGACAATCTACACCACCAAATTTTAACATGTCCAGCAGCTACTTAGAGCTCCGGAAACCTCCTTTCTTAGCCACCCCTCCCCTCAGCCATTTCCTGGTCCTTATCTCTTAGTCATTCCTGGCTGTTACATAGCAAAATTTCTGGAAACCAAACATCTAATCCACACACACTTTCCAGGGAACAGCACTTGTGTGAGCCGTGGCAGGGACCACAGACTAGCTGGGGGCAGGGTTCAGGTGGTGTGGACGTGTTTGGAGTGGGTGGGACTAAGAGAGGTACTTGGGTGCTAGCTGCCATGTGTTAGGGAGTCTGAGCTCACGGGCCCAAGGGTCACTGCAATTTCTCTAGGGCAATAATTCTCACCTAGGAGTAAGGGACGTCAAAATCTCTTGGGGGACACCTGCAAACTGTGCAGGTTCCCCCGCCCTAGTCCTTCCCTCACCTGTTGAGAAGCAGTGCTCTGATTGTTCAGGGACGAAATAGAACTCCCATGACCTAACCTCTGACCTCCTTTTCTCTTACTCCATTCCCTCTTTTTCTTCGTCTCAACAGCATCTCCACTGTCGGGACCGGATATGACCATGACACCTGGTGCCGCCCTGTCTCCTTTCACTGCAATTCCCTTTCCCCAGCCTGCTGCTGGCCCACCAGACCAGCCACCCTGGGAGCCGCCTCCACAGCCTCCCATGCCTTCAGCATTCTCTCCAGGCAACCCTCTGGTGCTCTCTGCTCTCCCCAGCCCATTGTTGGTGACGGGGGATGGGGGCCCTGGCCCCAATGGGGCTGGAATCATTGTCAAAGTCAAGACAGAAGGGGGGCCAGCTGAGCCCTCTCAAACTCAGAACTTCATCTTTACTCAGCCAGCCCTCAGTTGGATTGCCTCAGGCACTCCCTGCGGGGCCCCTGAGGGGCCTCCCCCTCAATTCATGACAGCTTCTAACATGAAGACCCTTCTGCCCACGAAGGCTGTCGGGGTGAGCCAGGAGGGCCTCCCAGGCTTTCCTGCTCAGGCTCTACCACCAGCTACCCAGCTGGCCCCCATTGTGCCCCCGGAAAAGGCTTGGCCAGGGCTACACAGGGCAACCGGAGAAGGAGGTCCGTTGGCCGCCCAATCTAAGCCCTCACTGGGTGACCTCTCCTATACCTCCAAAGGTGTTTATGAGAACTTCCGCCGCTGGCAGCGCTACAAAGCCTTGGCTCGGAGGCACTTGTCTCAAAGTCCTGATGCGGAAGCCCTTTCCTGCTTTCTTATGTAAGTGGGGAGATCTGAGATTAATTATCCTAGCGCTTTTAAACAAGGGGACTTTGGGCCGGACAGGAGGTTGGGCTCTCTAGGAATACTTGAGGGCAGGTCATGAGGGAGCTAGCGAGGCTATGAGAACACAAAAGCATAACGATGATGATGATGGTGATAAGCCTCTTTACCCACTTCCCAGATTATAATGAGCTTTCGGGGGTCTTCTCTCAAGTGATCCTCACAACCCTGTGAGTTCAGGCAAGCATATTAATGTAATCCTCATGTTTAGGTGAGAAGACCGAAGCCCAGAGGTTTCCTGTGACTTAAGCGAGGGGCCATGTGTAGAGCTTAGGTCTCTGACACCAAGTACGGGGGCCTTCCATTCTATTTTATTACCGTCTGACATCGAGTTAAGCTGTCCACACCAGCGGCATGAGTGCTGGGCCCTGACCATTTGTGTAGGAGTGGAGGATGGTGGGGGGCCGGGCAAAGGATGTGCCACCCCGCCCCACCACCCGCTATTTCTTCCTGAGTTCAAGTTGAGATAGGGAGGTGGTAGAGCTCGCTTAGTGACCGATGGCCCAGGTTCCACTGCTTGCTAGATT